TATTTTATTTGTTAAAAAATAACTACTTTAGTAGGAGTACTGAGCTTTTTACCCATTTCCAAAAAAGAAAAAAAAGAAAACTTTTTTGTGTAGGCTAATGTTTGATAGATTAAACTACAAAATCGAATACTCACCACAAAAATTAAAAACTCATTAAGTGATTGAGAACATAGAGGTGAGGTGAGTTGTCATTTTTCTTTTGTAAACATAAAAAATTGGGGAAAGGGTGGAGTTTGAATCATAATCATAAGCACGGATGTGTTGCACCCACCCTAACCAACTCTGCCAAGCTGTGGATGCAGGTAGAGGTAGGTTTTGTTTTGTCATTTAATTGTCTCTCTTAACAAGTTTTGTACACAATCACGTGGACTTATATAACCAGCTAGCTTCCTTTCTATTTCCCCACACAGATTTAATTTATAAGTCTTGCCTCCTTGCCTTAGTTACAGAGAATGTTCAAAAGGATCTAAGCAAACCCATTTTTGAGCTTATCTTTTTCGGTAGATTCTTTCCAATTTCAACCATTTTTCTTTCATAGCCAGATTTAACAAGCATAAGGTATGTATATGCTATGGTAATCTTCTTGCAAATCCTTTAATTTTGGTGAGAGGTAATATATATGTTTTAACTAGACTGAAAAGGCAAATTTAATTTATAATCATAAATTGATCATAAGTAATATATAAAGTCAAATTCTTAGTTTTTTTTTTTTAAATGACAATAATATTTATTATTAAAAAGTGTAAGGAGTACTCAATCTATTTATATAAGCATTATAGCACTGTTTTTGAACATTGCTACAAGCAATACCAATTAGATTTGCTACACATGAGTTGTACCTTCTGTTGGACCATTTAAGTCCGTTGTTTGCTCATCAAAATTATTGCTTGTCCCCAAATTGTTCTTGGCCCCAGCGAACGTCATACATAATGCTGGTTCCAGCAACCAGTCCTGGAAATATGTGCCCACACATTTACCAGTATCGCGTAGCCATTGGTAGGATTAGAGATGGCAACGGGGCCCCGCGGGGCTGGGGATCCCCTCCCATCCCCATCCTTGTCCCTGCAATTCACGGGATGGGGATCCCCACAGAGATTTTTGACTAGGGGTAGATTTTGCTCCATCCCCGTTTCCTGCGAGAATCCTCATTCCCCGCGAATATCCCCATTCCTCGCCAAATATCAAATTCTAATCTATCTTTTACAGAGCAAATGGCTTTTGATAACAGCAAAGCAGAAGGGTTTGTGAGTAACAGCCAGCAGAGTGAGTAGCAACAGAGCAGAAGGGTTCGTGAAGAGTAGAAGGACTCATGAACAACGAGCAAATTCGTGAACAACAGCAGAGCAGAGCAGATTCGTGAGCAGCAGCGAGCAGAAGGGTTTGTGAAGAGCAGATCGTGAGCAGCAATAGAGCAGAAGGGTTCATGAAGAGCAGAGCAGATTCGTGAGCAACAGACCAAAGGCAGAAACTGAGATCTGAGAAGGTGAGAGTGGGAGTGATTAGAATGGAGAAATGAATTAGGGTTAGGGTTAAATTTAGAGAAATAAATTAGGGTTAGGGTTAAATTTAGGGGAATGAGTTGGGTTGGGTTTGGTTAAATTGGATTGGGTTGGGTTTGGTTAAGTTGGATTGAGTTGGGTTGGGTTGAATAGTATTGGATAAGTTTAATTTTAATTGGTTTGAATTTAGGTTTAAATTTAAAGAGTAAATTAAATTTTTTTGGTGGGGACAAGGATCCCGTGAGGCCCCACAGAGTTGGAAAAATTCCCTATGAAACCTCGCAAGGAGAAAATGTCCCTGTCCCCACCCTCGCCCTGTCCTCGTGACAGAAACCCTTGCGGGGCCTCGCGGGGCCTCGCGGAACCTCGCGGGGATCGAGGGAAATTGCCAACCTTAGGTAGGATTGAGTCTAAATTGAGTTGAACAACTACTGTAGTCGACAATGGTGTTTTTGAATATTGCACTGTTCCTAGCTAGCCACAAAGTCCAAGTAATTGTGAAATCATATAGTCTCCCTCCCGCGCCTTTGATCAGCGGACGTGAATAAAGCGCTGTGCTGCTCAAAGACACCCCAACATCCCTCTGTGGTAATTTTTTTTTTAGTAGTGGAAGTATATTTAAGTTGTATGATATATGAATGTGGTTGTTTAAGGAATGGTTGGAGATGATTGATTCAATTGTATAATAAAAAATTAAAAAGTAAAAGTAAAAATAAAAAACCATATCCTATAATAATAATAATAAATAAAACCGCCGTATGATAACTTCACCAGTGGCTCCTTGCCCTGGATCGAACCTGAATTCAATGATAGGTGAATTAGATCACTTTCTTAATCGTTCTCTGCCTAAAGTAATAAATAAATTGATCAACACAAGCCATTGTCAAATCCTGAGGTTGCCTATATCCAAAATTTCTTTTCTTTTTGATAGATAAGTTTATATAAAATGATTAATGTATTATCCATATATATGTGTGTCCGCCTCCTCCAATGACATGTTGCATATATAAAAGTAGAATCTTGATTTTGTTTAAGTATAAGATAATTTGATATTCTTTAGGATTAGATGTACTGATAAATAAGTATTGTTTTGTAAATTAAGTTTAAGATTGAAGTCTTGAGGTTATATAGCACCCAAAGAAATTAGTTTCTTGAATGCATAAAGCCGATATATGGGATGTGTGCCCTAAACATCCTTAGGGAGAGATTAGTGTCTAAGTGAGAAAAAACTAGCTCGACTCAAGAACCCTTGATCATAAAAAATAATAATAATGTGAAAAGACAATCTAATTTGTACCATAAAAAAAAGATATATTGATTGGTTAATGATCTCCTAACTGGGTCTTTGTTTATCGGATTCTTTGGTACAATTGAGGGATGGTAGTTGGTGGCAACGGAGTTCAGATTGGAAGGCGGCCAGTGGATTGAAGGCGAGGGTTGTGGGTAGTCATAGGCTGCGAAGGACTAACAGTTGGTGGGCGAGTATATATTATTATCTGTCGGGTTATCGACTCTCCCTAAAAGCTGGCACCTCTAAAGACCTATTGCGTATATAAAAATAGAATCTTGATTTTGTTTAAATATAAGATAATTTGATAATCCTAATTGTGGATTAGATATACTAATAAATAAGTGTTGTTTTATAGATGAAGTTTGAGATTGAAATCTTGAGATTAGCACTCAATGAAATTAGTTTCCTGAAATATACCAAGCTGATATATGAGATGTGTGCCTTAAAGATCCCTTGGAGAAAGATTAGTGTCTAAGTGAGCAAAAGCTAGCTCGACTCGAGAACACTTGATCATAAAAATTAATAATAATGAAAAAAGATAATCTGATTTGTATCCTAAAAAAAAAGAGAAATTAATTTGGTTAATGATCTTTTAGTTCGGTCTTTGTTTATCAAATTCTTTGGTACAATTGAGGGATGGTAGTTGGTGGTAAAGGTGTTTGGATTTGAAGGCAGCTGGTGGATTGAAGGCAAAGATTGTGGGCAGGCATAGGTTGCGAAGGACCAACAATTGGTGGGTGAGTACTGTTAGTAGTTAGGTTATTAACTCTCCCCAAAAACTGGCAATTTCAGTGGGAATATTTTTCTGAAGTTTTGATCATTTAGTAGGATAATCCTCCTATTTAGGTAGCTATGTCTTTGCTCTTATAGTGATTACTTTTAATTTCTAGTTGCAAATATCTAGGGGTGTTCATATCTGATCCAATCTGATTGATCCGATTTAAACTGATCCAATCCAATCAAAAATCAATCCAAACCGATATAAAATTGAGTTGGTTTGAATTATAAAATTTTAAAACTGATTAATTGGTTTTGTTTGTAGTTTTGCCTTTAAACCGTTTGAACTGTCCAATTACAAAATAAAATCCGATTACAAGATAACTTAATTAAACAATATAATATATTTTTTGTAGTATTTAAAATTTCTTTTTCTTATTTTACAATATAATAACTCCATTAACTTAATTAAAAAATAAAAATAAAACATCTCCATATTCCCTAAGTTATTTTTCCATTTTAATCATGCACTCTAACCCTAATTCTAAATTTCTAATTCACCTGTAACTCTATCCCCTCAGAACTGATTTACGCCTTTACTCTTAAAACCTTAAATTTCTAATTTATTCTTAAAATAATCTTATGATTCTCCTAACTAAATTTTAAATAAGTATCATTTTAAAAGTCTTAAAACTATATAATAAAATTAGTCTTGATATTCTACTATTCTTGGATATTTGGTTTGGAAGTTTTAAAGTTTGATTATGAATGCTTCTAATTAATTTTAGTAATATTCATGTTAAATTTTATTCACTTTTAACAGAATTTAGAAGATGAGAT